ACAACAAATAGTTGAACCAATTGTTGAAGAATAAAATGAAATAAAAAGTAAAAAATTAATTGAAAAAAATTAAAGTACTGTAATAAAGAAGTAAATATGTATTAAGCAGTAAAATTTACTAAAATAGGGAAAATTACTAAAAAAAATTGAAAAATACTAAAATAGTGAAAATTGAAAAATACTAAAATAGTGAAATTGAAAAAATAGAAAATTAATAAAAAATCAGAAATAAATAAAACCATGAAAATTACTATTATAGTAAGTAAAAAATTAATAAAAAATGACATTATTATAAAAAAGAAAAATAAATAAATAAAAATTAATAATTAATAATAATTAAAAATTCATAGAAGGGTAAAAATCAATAAAACCTAAAAATAATAAGGAAAATGTAAAAATTAATGAAAAAGTAAAAATTCATAAAAATTTAAAATTGACTTCTAACAATTTAAAAATTGATAAAACTTTGAAAATCTATAAAAAATTGAAAATTGATATGAAATTAAAAATTGATTTAAAAAATATGGATAAAAGTGAAACATTTTATTGAAATATTCAATAAAAATTTCAAGAAAAATTGAAATATTCAATAAACATTTCAAGAAAAATTGAAATATTAAAAAATTCACAAAATTGCAAAGAAAGTTCCACTTAAATGGCATGAAGAGAAACGTTTTATTAAATATTTTTTACCATATACAGTATTAATATTTTCCATTCAATTCGGTGAAATGGCATCAAGAGAAACGTTTTATTGGGTATTTTTACCATATACAGGTATTAATATTTTCCATTCAATTGGGTGCTCTCTCTACAGCAAAATGCAAGGGACCATCATGCATGCAGGTACAAATTTGTTGCAGAGTACCCTTACAATATGGGGAGAGAACCCTATGATGGGACCAAAGAAAAAAAACAATTGTTGCACAGAGAAAATTGTTGCAGCACAGAGTACAGTACCCCTGCAATATAGCTAGTTTTAACCGGCATAACTATATAATGCACTGATTATAATTACAAGACTCGAAATTAATGCAAGATATATATCATATATCCTTCATCAGAAAAAACGTGTCTCGTAATGAATGAAGGAATCAACCTCACCGCAATACGCCATTGCGGCCAGGACAACGAACCCGGTCAGCACAGGTGACATCACTTTCTCAGCGCTTCCGTAATACCTGCGGACGCAACACAATGATTCATTATTGTTAAATATCAAGATCCCATCAAAGGCGGAATTATATTCTTAATATAAAAAAAAAATATATATATATACTTACGCTGGGTTGGTTCATAAGTTTCGAGAAGTTTCGAAATAGATCCAATAACAAAGTTCCAACAATTCCAAATTGAACTTTTTTTCTACTCGCCCCATCATTTGGCAACCCTGTAGTGCTGTTCAACAGCATGTATAACTCTCTTCTGATTTCATTGCATTTTTTCATGCAATAAATACTGATCCAACAATGAAAACAGCTGTGCCAAAAAATTGGACTTCTGTTAGTTGATTGGGCACCCTGTAATTTCTGGTTGCTTTCTACTGCACATGATGAAGATCAATTGTAAGTTATTAATTTTGAGTAATAAATGAAAAATGATCCAACAATGAAAACAGCTGTGCCAAAAATTCGACTTCTGTTAGTTGATTGGGCACCCTGTAATTTCTGGTTGCTTTCTACTGCACATGATGAAGATCAATTGTAAGTTATTTAATTTTGAGTAATAAATGAAAAATGATCCAACAATGAAAACAGCTGTGCCAAAAATTCGACTTCTGTTAGTTTATTGGGCACCCTGTAATTTCTGGTTGCTATATCTATACTGCACATAATGAAGATCAATTGTAAGGGATTAATTTTGAGTACAGTTACACAAGGACTGTACTTTTCTTGACTGTAGCAGCAGGCAGGTGTTCCAATACACTGCCTGCTATACACCCAAGAAAATTAGAAAGAAGCAATTTTTTTCACAGGGTAACAAGCAGGCATTTTAAAACATTCCATGATACACCCAGGAAAATCCAAAAGAAACCATTTTTGGTATTATTGTAACAGACAGGGGTGCTTTGAAACACTCCATGCTACACCCAGGAAAATCTTAAAGACTCAAATTTTTTTGGAATGTAGCTGGCAGGCATTTTGAAACTCCTGCCTGCAACAAATTCTTTGCGTTTTGAAACTCCTGCTGCCTGCAACACTCAAGAAAAGTACATCCTAAATCTTTAAAGTATAGGCATAGCAATAGCATGTGTAACCAATGCATATAATTTTTCATTACACCACCCATCCTGAAAAACACTGGAAATTATGAAGGCATAGCAGAAGAAGCTGGGTGTAACAGCTAAAGATAACAAATGCATTATGTTATGCGTAGCTGTTACACCCAGCCCTTCCTGTAAAAAATTCTTTGCTGGGTCATTTCTGTCATTGAACAGCAGTTTATAATCAACCAAGAGAACTCAATTACTGGCACTGTTTTGATCCCTGCTGGATTTATATTGCAAGCAAAAAATGGAAAAAATGCTTTAACATTGACAGATAATTATGTTTAGCAGCACTCAAGTGTTGCCAAATGATGACTCGATATATACAGTGAGACCCCCACATGCGGACACCTCAACATACAGACAATTGCACGTGGGGACACTTATTTTCTCTGAAAAAAATTAATAAAAAAGGCCCAACATGAGGACACTGACTTGACTTAGGGACATTTTGTGATAAAATTGCAAATACATTTCAGACCAAATTACAAGAAACAGATACTTTCAACCCTAAAATTTATGTAAGAAAAGTTCTTGGGCATTTCTCTCACCAATTTTCCATCCATTTAGCTAATTCTAAAAAATTACCTCCAGCATAGAGAGACTTCTACATTTTTTCACTTGAATGTTATTTTTGTGGATACCAACATTTCAATATGTACAGTACAGAGATACACTATTCAATTCTCCAAATGTTCTTCTTGAGATGAAAATCTATTCATTAATTCAAATTCAAGTGGAAAAATAATTTTTTTTTCATGGAATTATGAAGAATATTTCTCCCATAAAACACCAATTAAAAATTATATAATGTGAGTCTATGGGAAAGCAAGATTCAACTTAGGGACAATTTGATTTAAAGACACTCTTGATGCACCAATTATGTCCGCATCTCGGGGTCTCACTGCTGTATATATATATATATATATACTGTATATATATATTCAAGGAAAAACCATTTTTGTTTGTTTGTTTTGCAATTCTTAAAACTCCGTTGGATCTATTTTAAACAGTCTCACAACTTATGAACCAACCCTCAAACATTTATGAATAAATTTAAAAAAAGCAAGGAAACCTTCAAGGAACAAAAACAAAAAACAAAGACCGGCAATATAATGCAGCAGTTGATGGAAGATGGGTGACGTGAGGAAAGTGCAGTGATGATGACAAAGGCAGCCCGCAGAAGAAGGTTACATAGCGGATCGTCTGTTGCGCAACCCGGGTTGCAGCATTGACCTCGCAGCTGGTTTCGAGGCTCGTTAATATGTGCGCTCAAGAGGAAAAAAAAAAAGAAAATAAAAATTGGGACACCCCATACGAAAGTCTTGGGACACCTACGAAGGTTTTCAACAAATAAAATGGGAACCCTACATACAAATAATAAGGTTTGTCAAAGGAAAGGAAAAAGAAATACGAGCACCTAAAAAAACAGTATTGTTCAATATGTGTTACTGTCAAGAGAAACAAAACATGGGACACCTACGAAAGTTTTCAACAATACATAAAATGGGACACCTACGAAAGTTTTCAACAAATAAACTGGGACATCTACATACAAAAGTTTGTCAAGGAAGAAAAAAAAAACGAGCACCTAAAAAAAGTACAGTATTGTTCAATATGTGTTGTCAAGAGCAACAAAAAATGTGACACCTACAAAAGTCTCCAACAATGAATAGAATGGGACACCAACGAAAGTTTTCAACAAATAAACTGGGACATCTACGTACAAATGTTTGTCAAGGAAGAAAAAAAATGAGCACCTAAAAAAAAAGTTTTTCAATATGTGTGCTGGTCAAGAGAAAAAAGGGACACCCACGAAAGTCTCCAACAATGATTAAAATGGGACAACTACGAAAGTTTTTAACAAATATATTGTGACAGGTTTGTCAAAAAACGAAAAAAGGGGACCCAAAATGTTCATAAAAAGTTGTTCACGTTTTTTTTTTAAATGTGCAGTCAAAAAAAAAAATTGGGACTCCTACGAAAGTTTCCACAAATAAAATAAAACAACCATATACAAATGTTTGTCAAGAAACGAAAAAAAATGCGAGCACACCTAAAATTTTCGTCAACTAAAAAAGTTTTTTTAATGTGTGCGGTCAAGAGAAAAAAAAAGGGACATCTACGAAAGTTTCCAGCAAATAAAAGTGGGACACCAACAACATTTTTGTCTAGATAGAAAAAAAGGAGCACCTAAAAATATTCAACAGCTAAAAAAATATCATCAGAAACAAGAATCGCAAATCAGCAAAAATGTGTTCAAATTAAAAATACACGCACAAAAGTTCGTCAAAAAAAATCATTCCTAGAAAATTTATGAACAAATGGGACATCTGCAAAATTTTGCAAAGAAAGGAAAAAAGAGAACCTAAAATATTAACCACTTAATTGTCAGGTTTCTTCAAAAGTTTTNGACACCAACAACATTTTTGTCTAGATAGAAAAAAAGGAGCACCTAAAAATATTCAACAGCTAAAAAAATATCATCAGAAACAAGAATCGCAAATCAGCAAAAATGTGTTCAAATTAAAAATACACGCACAAAAGTTCGTCAAAAAAAATCATTCCTAGAAAATTTATGAACAAATGGGACATCTGCAAAATTTTGCAAAGAAAGGAAAAAAGAGAACCTAAAATATTAACCACTTAATTGTCAGGTTTCTTCAAAAGTTTTGGTCTGGAAAATAAATGGAACACATGCAAAATTTTTCAAAAAATAAAATGGGACTCGTAAAAAAGATTTGTCAAGAAAGAAAAGAAGCCTCTAAAATGTTCAACGCCTAAAACAAGGTTTAAAAAAAATTAAAGCACATTCACAAAAATTTTCTCTAATATCAAGACACGTATAAGAACTTGCAAAAAAATAATGGCACTCCTACCAAAATTTATAAAAAATAATGGGTCGCCATAACAAAACATTTTCAGAGAAAAACAGACACTGACAAACATTTTATAAAGGAATAGGAAACTCCTACAAAAATTGTGAAAGAAAAACAGAACCCCTAAAAAAGTTTGCCACAGAAAAAATAATTTAAAATAAGTTCCACACTAAATTGAAGACCTGAAAAAAGGGTGTAACAAAAAATTGGCATTTAGGAAAAAAATATTATTGGAAAAAGAAGAAGGAGCCTTAAAAAAAAACTCATCAATCAATTTTATTGATGTAAACTTGTAATAAAATCCTTCTATTTCTACAAAAGTACTCATAATTTTATTTTAATTAAGCACAAATACACATACAATAGTTTGAAACTTCAGCCAGATCATAACTAAACATAAAATACTGTGGAATAATTTTTTGCTGAGTAAAATCATTAAATCTTGTGAAATATACAGTACTATAATAATTCACGTTGTCAACTTTTGAGTTGGCCTTTTTTCAAAAGCTTCCAATGAATACGACCTTGAATCAAAATGAGTACTGAATTTTTCTACCAAGTACTGACCATCTTGCTGAAACAAGACAGAAGATTATTCTTTTTCCTTTGAGTCAAAGAACACCATTTGATTGAAGTTATAAGTAATGTAAAAAAAAAACATGAGAATGGATATTTCTTGGTGCATAGAAGAATGTTCATACATTTTTTTAAATAAAAAATAATTAAATTTGATTGCATTGTTCCTGTCTTTTCAAGGTCTTGGAGTTCAAAATTCAATCAAAATGTTTCAAAAGAAGATAAAGTATCCTTCCAATAATACAATTTCATAAAAGTTTTTTCTTCCAAAAATGAGTTCAAGTTATACTTTTTGGGCTACAGGAAAAATCTGCCTATAAATTGAAACTTCCCACATGCATGTTTCAATAACAAATTAATTGAAGGAAAAAAGAGGTCAAGTTTATTGATAGCTACATAAAAAATCTTTTGATGAAACATAAATTCCTTATACAGGGTCTCAAGGCTTTGCTGTGATTGAATTTCACTATACAGTATAAGCAAAAATTATATGAGCTTTAAAATATTCTTTCTCCATATTTTTTATTTTACTATATGAGCAATTTGAACAGATTTTTCACAAAAAAATAGAAAAAAATATAGAATACTGACTTTTATTACACAGCCATTTCTTTAAATATCTTATACTACTGTAATCCATATTTTGTTTCCCATGAAACCCTAAAATTAATGTGGGGTTTCACTGGGAATACCAATAGGTTTGTATCTTCAGCATCACAACTGTCCACATGATCCACATCACTATATATCCTGAAAATATGAACAGGGTGTGGCTGCCATCATAAAAATTAAATTTTTTCAAGGGCGAGACGTTTTTCTGACCGTTTTCTCACACTGCAGGTTATGTGGGAGGTCCTCAGACCCCAGCACAAATATCAGGTTTTTAGTGAAATAAGTTTATAGCACAATCGGCCGTTTGCGGCCTAAGGGTCCTGAACCCTCAACTTGTGTTATCAGCAATGTCCAAGTCCACAAATAATATTTCCCAGCAATAAAAGTCACACACAAAATATGCAGGTCTGTCCTTTCCAAAGTCCAGAGCAGGATTGATTGATTCTGCTGTTCCTTCCTCACAGGTCCTGGTCCTCCCCAGTGGAAAGCTTCTCCAAGGTTTTCACTGGGGTGTGACTAATTTTCTGTTTGTAAAATTCTTCATAATTCCTTTCATCAAGTGATGATTCACTTGGTGGAATGTTTTTCCTGAAGATCAATATCTTCAGGTTTCATAATGTTTTNATTCACAAGGTTCAATCAAGATTCCCACAACCAAACCCCCTTCCCACCCAACCCAAATCCACTCAATGACATTTTAATCACTTCAGAGCAGGAAATCACAAATTGATAACAAAAATAAAAGAAAATACAATCCAACATGAAATACAACTGGAAATCTGACATGTATGCATACACCCATTCATTCCCTGACATTGGTAACAAAATATATATAAAAAATTAATTTAAAGCACAAGGTCTTCAGCTTGTTTCTGTATGAGGTTTAGTTGAATGAACAAATTACGGATAATCTCTCATGAGAAATCATATAAAGCCAACAGTTTATCTTGATCCTTTAAGATTTCAGAAAGGGTCTCTTCATTGAATTCCAGACTTGTAGGTCTATCTTAAGCTTGTTTCTATCAGTATGAAATCCTGGACATAAAAAACAACTTGAAATACATGCTATATGTCATTAGAAAAATTTCTCATACATCAGAGCACTGTCAAAGGAAGCTTTCAAATGGGATAAAAATCATTCAGTCTCATAATCTATATCAGGACATTCTGTTCATACCTGATTTTTTTTAAACCTAATCTACATTTGAAAGTCTTCATTAATTGCATTCAAAACACCTAAGAATGTTCAGTATACTGCCCAATCTCCTGAAAGTACAGTTTTATCCTTTTAACTTTCAAAATGTTTTACCTCTTCCAGAGAAGAGATTCAAATTATAATCATAATGTTTTCAATAAGGGATTAGGGAACTCTTCACATGTATAATACATCAACGAATTAACATTTTTAATAAGAAGGCCAGAAAATAACTTTCCACAATTTACTCACACAGTTCAGGTCACATTTCTGAACTCAAAAACTCCTTCAGTCAAATTGTTCTCAAAAGCCTTTCAAATTGAACTTAATGATGTTCAACTGTATTGATTCTGAAATAAGATTGAGGCTATGAGGAAAGTGCCTGAAAAAATACTGTAATAACAAATAATAAATTAAATTTCTTGACAAATACATTCAAATTTAACTTGAGAGAGTTTCAACAGCAGCAACACTCACATTAGATAGTGTATAAATAACTGACGTTACCTGAAAAATACAATTAAAAAGAATACAGTAATTTGTTGCCACAATTTTTTTTTACCAATTTAACTGTGAAAGATTCAACCGTACTAAGTCTGAAAAAAACATCAAGGCTATATCCCAAAGGTACCAGAAAAAATTAATCACAAAGAATTAAAAAATCCATTTAAATTCAACTTATACAGAGGTTCAACTATATTGATACTGGATTCAGGAAAGAGTATGGGCATCCTGAAGTTGCCTGAAAAAGTAATTGCAAAGAAGAATTTATTGTAACAATAAAATCATTCAAATTCAAATGAGAGAAGTTTGACTGTACTAAATTTGAAAGAAGATTGAGGCTGAAATAACAATGGTGCCTTAAAAAAGTTATTAAAAAGGCTAAACTATTCTAACAAGACCATTTGAATTTAAATTGAAGAAGTTTCAACTGTATATCTAATATGCTCAAATAAGATCAGGGCTATACCAAAGGTATGTCTGAAAAACTTGATTTACATTGAGCTAATTTATTTAAACTAGTCCAATTAAATTTACATTAAAGAAGTTCAAATGAATTAATACTCAAAAAGATTTAGAATGTGCTAAAGGTTCAAACAAAAAAATTAAGAGGCAATTTACAGACTCAATTGTAGTAATACTCAAATAAAATTGAGGCTATAATATATATATATATATATATATATATATATATATATATACCAAAGGTGACAAAAAAAATTAATAAAAATAAATACATTATTTTACCATTCCATTCAACTTTAAATTAAAAAGTTCAACTTTAATACTCAGATAAGATTTCGAATTTGCCAAAAATTCCTGAAAAAAATAATCATAGAAATTACATTTCTTGAAACAACAACAAAAAATTACTCAAGAAAGCCAATTCACAGACTTTGAACTGAATCAACACTCTGAAAAAATTATCCAAAATTGAACTTCACAGTCCAACGTCTCAAGTGATACTGACTGGATTTCTTCCAGGCAAGAACTTATTTGTTCATGGGAGTTTTTTTTTTTTTTAAGCGCCACGTGTATATCATCACTTTTGTGGGACTCGTTTGTAAATTGCTGCTGATTCCAACAAGTAATTCGCGTCATCAAAGTCGAAAAATTTATCAATTTTAAACAATTGCTCGATTTTTCACGCAATGAAATACAAAGTCACACTTATTTGAAGAGAGTATAAGTGAACGGGATTTTCCAGTTTCCGTTTCTCAAAACGTCACAGGTACTCAAAAGAGCGCATTTCAAAAGCACGGATGTTCATAAAATATAGGATAAAAATAATCACAAGTCGAGGAGCAAATTCTGGCATCATCAGAAAAAGCAGGGGTTCACATCTAAAAAATTATTGATCTAAAAAAGGCCCTGAAAAAAAAACATTTGGGATTATGACACAATTTCACTCTTGAACTCCTCAGAAATCAATTTCTTCATAAATTTTGGATTTTCCTAGAAAATTGCATTTTTGCTTGACATTATTGAGAAACTGTTTCAAAATAAGCCTGATTTTTTCATTGATGCAAAATTATGTACAGTAAAACAGAATCTTCTTGAAGAAGCATCAGATAAACTTTAAAAAGCCTCCTTATGAAATAAAAATTGTGTTACAACTGAATTAAAACAACACTGTTGAAATTGGGGCAGGGACAAAAAAAAGAACAATTTGTTGTAACAAGTATTAATTTTGAGCTTCGTTGTAACGAGGTTCTAATGAATCACAAATTTTTAAGGGTTCGGGCAGAAACACTGCATGTAGACAAAATGCCGTAAGAAAATATTTTCAAAAAAAAAAAACTGCCAGGATCCATTGCAACAATTTCCTTTTTATGGTTTTCAAACTTTGACCTAGAAATCAGTGCAAGTTTGTTCCTATTTTCCCCATGTCTTAAATGGATGGGTTATTAATAACCCCTCACTGATTTCAGCATTTGAAAATATAGTTATAAAAGGAAAGGGAAGAAAAAGTCCAAGTCCTGCTGATTTTCTGCCAGGACAAATTTCACTTGATAAAAGTTGAATTCCTTATTAGAAATAATTTTCATGATTAATTTTATTTCTTCCAAGAAAATTACTGCTTATTATTGCCTGAAATTGAAAAATTGTTTCAAGAAGTGGTATTTTTTCAGTAATGTAAAATTAATACAATGTTGCAAGGGTTTGGTCAGAAACACACTGTATCAAGAGAATATTTTCACATCAAATTGCCAGGATTCATTGCAAAAATTTCATTTTTATGGTTTTTTCCCAAATTTGACCTTGAAATCAGTGCAACTTTTTTTATTTTTCCCATTTCTTTGAATGAAGGGGTTCTGAATAATACCTCACTGATCTCAGCATTTGAAAAGATAGTTATGAAGGGAAGGGAAGAAAAAGTTCAAGTCCTGCTGATTTTCTGCCATGACAAATTTCACTTGATAAAAATTGAAGTCCTCAGAAATCATTTTCATGATTAATTTTATTTTTCCAAGAAAATTGCTGCATATTATTGCCTGACCTTGGAAAACTGTTTCAAGAAGTGTCATTTTTTCCTTAATGTAAAATTAATACAATTTTGCAAGGGTTTGGTCAGAGGCACTGTAGACACAATGCCTATAATGGAAATATACTGTCAAAACACATTGCCAATATTAATTGCAAGAAACTCATTTTCATGGTTTTTCAAACTTCGACCTTGAAATCAGTGCAATTTACTTCTTATTTTTCCCATTTCTTTGAATAAAGGGGTTCTGAATAATCCATCACAAAAGTCTCAGCATTTGAAAATATAGTTGAAAAGAAAAGGGCAGAAAAAGTCCAAGTCCTGCTGGTTTTCTGTCATGACAAATTCCACTTGATGACAATTTTCACTTTCATGATGCATTTTTAATTTTCCAAGAAAATTACTGCACAGTATTGCTTGAAATTTAAAAACTGTTTCAAGAAGTTTTACTTTTTCACTGATGTAAAATTAATAAAATTTGCAAGGGTTTGGTCAGAATCACTGTAGACCTTATGGAAATATATTGTCACAACAAATATTGCCAAGATTCATTCCAATAAACTCATTTTCATGGTTTTTCCAACTTTGACCTTGAAATCAGTGCAATTTTCTCCCTATATTTTCCCATCAATGTATTTGAAATTAAATGGAGGGGCTCTGATTAATAATCCCTCACAAAAGTCTCAGCATTTGAAATACAGGAAAAAAAAGAGTCCAAAACCTGCTGACAAAAGTTGTAAAAATTCTGGATCAAAAATCAAATTAGAAAAACAACTTATAATTTATTCAATTATTGAAGAGTCACGTATTGTGAAATTTTCCTTCTATAAATCCGATTTTTTTTCAACACTGAAACTTATCGTTCGCACTGATGATGCCTGCTGCCTACCTCCGTCATCAGAGGTCCACCAGCCACTGATGAAAACATCATCCCGTGGCGTCCACTGTATAATACGTGAGGAAGTCGAATCGCCGCCACCACCGCCGCCGCCGCCGCCATGAACTCGAAACGTGCTCGCAAGACCAAAAAAAAAAAGGCCGCCTAATTCCCTGGTTGCGTAATTCCATGGCAACTTCGCCTCTTGCTGCTGTGGGTCCTTTCTTTCCGTCTTGCGCAGGAACCTGGAATGCAAAGGACCCTCTCAGCAAAACGGCTCTGCTCACGCAATATAAAATATTTGTATATACTGTATATATATATATATATATATATATATATATATATATATATATATATTATACATAAGGACATGAAAAGTTTGTTCACTTGATGGTTAATTTCTGTTGAAAGCATCCCATAAAAAAAATGAGTGACCTGTATCATACAGTAAATTATATTTGGACTCCCTCCACAATGAAATTTAGGGGACCAGAGAAAATTTGAGACTTTTGTTGCAGAGAACAAATTCCACTTGATGAAAAATTTCACTTTCATGATAAATTTTAAATTTCTCAAGAAAATTACTATATTTTATTGCCTGACATTTAAAAACTGTTTCAAGATTTTTTCATTAATGTAAATTTAATACAATTTTGCAAGGGTTTGATCAGAGACACTGTAGACACAATGCCTTATGGAAATATACTGTCACAACACATTGCCAAGATTCATTGCCATAAACTCATTTTCATGGGTTTTCCAACTTTGACCTTGAAGTCAGTGCAATTTTCTTCATATTTTCCCAATGTCCTTGAATTAAATGGAGGGGCTCTGATTAATAATCCCTCACAAAAGTCTCAGCATTTGAAATACTGTACAGTCATACAGGAAAAAAAGTCCAAAACCTGCTGATATGTGATAGGCTAGAGACCTTTATATGGGACCAACAAAAAATAATTGGGCAGAGAAAATCATTTTATCATACATGTATTGCATAAATATGCAGTGAATTCACAGGTGGACTCTCTCTATGCAACAAAATTCAAGGGACTGGATAAAATGTGTTGCAGAGAGACTTTTATTGTAGAGAACGTATCTGTGATGGGTATTTGGAGACCTTTATGGAACTAACACAAGATCATTGAACAGAGAAAATCATGGTATCAAAGATACATAAATATTTTTACATATACCTATGCCCAGTAAAAGAATGGGGGTATTGGGCTGGCAGACATTTCTGCAATGGCATTGCCAATGCCATTTCATTGCCATTCTCAGAATGGTGAGGATTGCAGCCAACCTCCTTTTTATTGGCATTGGTGCAACTCAAGCTCAAGGCATTGCCAATGCCAATGTATGGCATTGCCAATGCCATTTCATTGCCATTCTCAGAATGGTGAGGATTGCAGCCAATGTCCTTTTTATTGGCATTGGTGCAACTCAAGCTTAAGGCATTTTCAATGCCAATGTCCCAACATTTGAAAAGAGGGCATTGCTGAAATGGCATTGAACATACCTTGTCATGGCATTAACAAAGCATCATGGAAAAATGTTCCAATTATTGATGTTTGTTCACTTGATCATCACAGTAAACTGTGATGTTCAACCAAACATTGTGGTTCACTCTGTTTCAGCTCTGAAGAATTGTTATGTACTGTTAAAAATAAAACAATATCCAAAATATTTCTCAAATTTTATGTAAAATATTTGCTAATTAAGATATATGAGCATTCAAAAAAAAGCAAATATTCCCCACAATGAGACCAATCAAAATGTCCCCTTGTACTTGACAATGATCAATTCATCAGCAATGTACTTAACAATCCTTAAACATTGCAGGTGCAGTACATTGTTGAGTACACAGCTGAGCCCTTCAATGTTGAAACATTGTTCCTGTCATGTTCACTTGAACATTCTTTCATGCAGGTATGAAATTATGCACCTGCAATGTTCAATTGAACATTGCTGGTATATTGTTGAGTACATTGCTGAGGGATTGATTACGGTTAGTTACAATGGAAATTTTGATTGGCCTCATTGTGGGTAACATTTGCTATTTGTAACACAACCCTTCTATCTTAATTAGCAAACTTTCCACAGATCTTCAAACTTTGCAGAACATTTTAGATATTGCTTTATTCATTAACATTAATAACTCTTCAAAGCTGAATCCAACAGCAAGAATGAGGATGTTTCTGTATTTTTATGCCAAATTAATATTGAACATTGCTGAAAATGTTCATTCATCAGCAGAATATTTATCAAGAGCAAGTATTTTTACAGTTCTTTCATCAAGGTAGAAAAAGGTGCTATTTTGTAATGATTGAAATGTTGGTGAGTTTTTTCACATTGAAAATGAATTCAGCATGGACTCCTTTTTCACCTCAAAAAATTCCAGCTCCTGATTTTCTGAATGAATATGAATATCCCTCATTTTAGCATAAGTAGAATAACTATTTGCATTGGATTTAGCTTGTGAATGCATAGCTAGATGTGAAGATGACTGACTCTCACTAACCAGATGGCCCCAGTTTGAAACCCAGCAGGAGCATCATCAGGACAACAAAGTCAAAGCAAGGAACCTTCCGCAGAAAAGCATATTGTGAACAAAAGCAGACAAATAGAGCAAAGAAGAAACAGGAAAGAATACAGTACAAAGAGGGCAACAGAAGGAAGTAAATAGTGGCAGATGAATGGGATATTTATTTTTCCTTTTTTCACTGCTGTCAGACATTGGGGCAATGCCACTGGCATTGCCCTGGGAATGGCATAATGGAAATGGCCATTCAATGGCAGGCAATATATTGCCTTATTTAATAGACATTGTTGTGGGAAGTTGGCAATGCAATCTCAACAAACTGCCAATGTCCCTTCTAATGCTGGGGCTATGGAGGGTGACCAAAACAACGTTTCCCTGACAATTAAGGGCCAATGCCATGCCAGTGTTTTGGCAACACAATTTGTGCTTTAAATAAACTTTTACTGCTGCTTTGTCTTTGACATTGGGGATGGGTGGGTGTATGCAACATACGCGTAGGATGTCCAGTTTTTATTTTGTAGAGTGTGTTCTCTTTTGTTTTTGTCATTGGTTTATGCTTTGTTTCATGCTTTGAAGTGATTGAATGTATTTTGGGGGAGTTGGGTTGGGTGGGGAGGGGGNGTATTTTGGGGGAGTTGGGTTGGGTGGGGAGGGGGTTTGGATGCAGGAGTTTTGGTTGTACCTTGTGAATCCTGAAAAGCGGCAAATAAAGTTTTCTGTTCATTCATTCATTAAATTTGCAATGCTAGAATTATTTGCTGGGTATCTGCTGTATAGACTGTATATACAGGTTCTCTCTCTCTCTCTCTCTCTCTCAAAAACCAAGTTTGAGGTACCAGATACAATTTTTGGCAGAGAGGCATTTTGTTGTAGAGGAATTCTCTCTGACGGATATAGAGACCTTTATGGGACCAACAATCATTGAAGAAAGAAGGTCATACATATATACATATTCAGTATATACTGTATACAGGGGACTCTCTACAAAAAAATTAAAAGGAACAGATAAAATCAATCTTATCCTCAACAAAGCACTGTGCCAAGTCAGATGCTGTGCCAAGCTTGGAATAAAGTCAGATCTGGGTTTGTCCAGCCTTGCTCAACTCTGAATGGCAAAGTCTGTAAAGTCACCTGGCTTTCTATCTATGCACTCTCATTGCTCTCTGCTCACTACTGCTGGAACCCACATTGAGATTACGCTGTTGTTTATAATTGTGGAATATGAGAAATACACTTATGGTATATTCTTTTATAGAAAATTTGAGGAGTCTTCACTGTACAAACCCAACAATTAGGATAAGAAATCTGCTCATCAACAAAGTTGTCAGATCTAAATTAAAAATACAATACAGCAGTAAAGTATGAGATATAAGGATTCAAGAGACATCTTGAAGTATTTGCACTGTAGTTCAAAAGATCTGATTAAAATCTGAGTAAAGTAAAGTATATAAGTAAGTAAGTATCAAGTATTGTACAGTATATTTGGTTGTGTATTTTCAAGCTGCTTTATCTTTCTTCGGAGGTAGAGTTTCAGAATTTGGGCAGTCAAGTTGCTTATTTGCTTGTTTCTTGTTGAAATAGCATTTCAGAAAATCCCTCAGAAAGCAATCTCAAAATCTGACGCACCAGAGAATCAAGGGCAAAATTGAAGGAAGTAATACTGTAGCTGTAAACAATGGAATTGAAGTCTCCACAATTGGAACTATTTGGGTCATGATAAAAGCCAAGACTGCTAATGGAGTTTTCTGTTTTATTCAGAAAGCTTTCATTTGCAGCATAAAATCTTTTATGGTCAATTCTCTCACCCAGGCAATGATTCTGCAAGGAATTTTGTAGAGTACCTGGATGGGATTGCACATTTTGAAAGATAATTTTAGAAAAATCAAAAATCAACAAAAACCCTCCTGGAATATATCAGTTTGGTCAAGCAATGACTGTATAAAATCTAAGAGAAACCTACAGCTCAATCTTCAATTGAGCTGTTGCTGTTACAGTTATTCTTGGGAAACCGTATCCCCCTTAGAAAAATTTAATGCAGATAATTTCCTGTTTTGCACAGGTTCTAAGTGATCATGACAAGGATGTTTTGTGAGTGTATAAAAGGGATTAATCTTTTTTCAACAACTTCAATTAAAGCGGAATCATATTTTTCATAAAAAGGCAATCCTGGAATAAACTGTTTCATTGTAATCTTGCAGGGACCTATTGAATATCAATTTTTAAAAAGCAAGGTAAATTCTCCATTCAGATATTATTGAAAAATGGTCTACCCTTCCAATTGTTCAAAAACTTCATTTTATGATGCTAATTTGCTGCTCTAAACAGGTTTGAAAGGTCCATCAAGTACATTTTGCAATTGTCTGACAGAACTTGACTATTTCTCAACTTTAATATTGGATAAATCATATTTTGCATCAAAAGGCAATCCTGGAATAATAGCATTTTAATCATACCAGGATCAACTGAATTTATCAATAAGGAAAAAATCAGGTACATTCTGAATTTAGTGATTCTTGGCAAATTGTCTTTCCCTTGCTGCTAGCACATATTTTTAAAATGACAATTTGCTGATATAAACTGCTTTCATAGGTCCTTCAAGAATGTTTTGTGGAAGGTATTATTTGTTTTTCCACTTTAATTTCAGAAAAATCACATATTTTGCATAAAAATGCAATCTTGGAATATTTTAGTTTAGTATCATTCAGCAGTATCAGAAGGGACCTTATACTGTTTATTGAACCAAAAACAATGATCCATGCCTTTTTATTTTATTTGTAAATCATCTGGTAGGATCTTCATTCTGGAAAATTATACAGTACTTTTTTGGAAACATTTCTAGAAAAACAAAAATTTATATTTGATATGTTTTGAACCAGTTGAGTTACAGCCATAGGCACAAAATATTTTTCAAATGATAAATTCACTCTTGCTTCATTTTCTTAAACAAGCTGCTTTTGTGCATATCCATTGAGGATTTTCCATCAGTACAGTGTACATTTAGATCTATTTTGAGTGTTTTGAGCTGAACAGTCAGCTCAATTATCAATTAGTTTTTAGTGGGCACTCAGTTGTTGGTGGTGCCCATCACTTGAGACTCAGAGCACCATTCCAAGGTTATCAAAATTCACACACACACACACACACACATTTCCTTCAACTCACTGAATTGCATCCACAGTATTCTCATCAAAACTATTTCCCCCTCAGGCAATGGATGACCCTGCATGCATGCTGCATGCTAGCATGCATCAGACTTTACTTTGGTCTTGCGCAATAAAGTTTCGCAGATTCCTTCATTGATCGTCCAGCAGCAGCAGCAGCAAGCATTCATCTTTTTTTGTTTTCTTGCTGATGATGAATAAGCCTTGTGAAGGCCAGCGCCAGGTGCGCCCTCTAGCGAAATCTGCACGAAAAACTCCCTCTCTTTTTTGTTCTGCGAAACCCCCACCCCCTTGCGCGCTTCGCTGTGTAAAATACTCCTTTGCTGGGGAGCCTTCTCCCATCACTTCCTATTTCACCCCCCTCAGTTCCCCCCCACACTCGTTTTTTATTTTTAGGTTATTATTACGTATTAATCCCCCTGTTTTTATTTCTTCGAGATAACCTTCTTCTTAATCCATTTTTTTTTGTGTACTGCGATTCATTTCAAGTCGGACGTGATAATGATGATTGAGGACCTTGCGTGACTCTGAGACATGAGGTAGATTCTGTGTTTTTAAAAACTGATGAAGGCTTGTGTTACTGTCAAAAGTTTCTTGCTTGGAACTAAGAAATTTTGGAGTCCTCCATCATTTTTACACTTACAAGGAATACAAAATACAAATACTGTAATTACATATTTTATTTATGTGATTTCATGATCATATTATTTAATATTGTTATTGTTATAGTATGCAATTTAGTAATTGAATAATCAATGATCATATAATTAAACATTGTAATTACGCAATTTATATAATAATCAATGATCATATGATTTTATATTGCAATTAAGCAATTTAATAATTGTGCAATTAATGATCATATAATTTAACATTGTAATTATGCAATTTAATAATTGTGCAATTAATGATCATATAATTTAACATTGTAATTATGAAATTTAATAATAGTGCAATTTATATACCAGTAATAGTCAATGATCATATGATTTAATATTGCAATTAGGCAATTTAATAATTATGAAATTTATATAATAATCAATGATCATATAATTTTATATTGTATAATTATGCCATTTAATAATTGTGCAATTTATATTATAATCAATGATCACATGATTTAGTATTGCTATTAGGAAATTTAATAATTGTGCAATACATGTAATAATAAATGCAGATATAATTTAATATTGTAATTATGCAATTTAATAATTGTGCAATTTATATAATCACCCATAAATCATTAAATGATTGAATTATTCTGGGAATTATAGTGCATTTGCTCCTTGGATCACACTTTCAACTCAATTTCCATGGAAAATTTTTTAATCACTTCATGGCAAACATTAAAAAAAGACCTCTATACAAAAGTAAATATTTTCTTTTCAACTTCAAAACACAGAAAATACCTTCAAAATAAAGTAACACAGACTTTTTGCTTTTCTGGTATGAAAAATGCAACATTGATAAAATTCCACTGCATAGATGGAAAACGCCCTCAAAGGATGAGCACAAAATCAGCTTCTTTCAGAAATTGAATTAAAAGTGAATTTATCATTTGAAAAATATTTTATGTCTATATGACTGTAACTCAACTGTTTCATAACATATCAAATGTAAATGTTTTTTCTTTAGAAATTTTGCCAAAAACTATAATTTTCCAGAATGAAGATCCTACCAGATGATTTTCAAATAAAATAAATAAGCATGGATCATTGTTGAACTCAAGAAGCAAACATTTCATTGAGTCTGATTCAATTTTGGCTAGATTTATTTGAACAATTTTGGAAGTTTCAGTAAAATTGTTTCCCATGGCAGAATTTTCAAGAGTATGTTTTGAAAATTACACCAGTAGCAAGCAAATTATGGAATGAAAAATTGAAAGTATGTAAAATATATATACCCATCAGGTTACAATAAATTCAGCCAAAAAATGAAGCTACAGGCTTTTATAGCTTTTGAAACAATGTTGCTTGAGAATTGGCCCACATTTTTTTCTAGCCCATCCTGTAAACTCTCCTCAGATATCTTGCTGATTGCTAAACAAGCTTGCATTTCAAGTTGCTTATATTTTATAAAATAACTATAAGATATATTAAAGCTTCTCTTTGATGCACTGTGAAATTATATTTTAAATTTTTTTTTGCGCAGGTGAAAGGAGGGATGCCAGGACAAGGACGGAAAGACAGACTGCAGATGTGATAATGCCATACCAAACGGACAGGTGAGGGACACTCACACATAGGTTTTAGATATATTTGGGTGCCAGTACATTAGCTTGCATGCCAAAATAACAGCATTTATACTGTCCTTGAAAAATCACACAAGAAAATGAAACTTTTTAATGCAGTATTGTGAAGTGAACTCTCAGTTTCAAATGATTTTTTTTCTCTGGCAAATCCTGCAGTTAAGAATCAAAATTTTGGCAACAAGCCTGTCAAGTACTCAAATGTATGAGGGATAGTACAAAAACTTCTGGAGCCATGCACTTCTGACGCGCATGGAACAATTCATAGTTTTTTTTAACTATTACAGTATATGGAATCATTTAAACATTTTTGAGTTTTCAAGTGAGTATAAACATAATTTTGAATGTAGGAATCAATTCATGCCAAATTTAAAGAGAAAACTAACGCATCTTCATTTTGGTCAGAACATTTTTCAACAAGATCAAAGTAAATACTCTCAAGCTATCATCAGAAGGCTTTCCCCTGCATTCGAGCATAGAAATGAAATAACAATAAATCATTTGAGAAAATGTGAAGTCCCATGCAGATATGTCATACATTACAGTACAGTATTCAGAGTACTGTACAGTGAAAGTATTGTTTGTAAGAGGTTTCAATAATAAGATTCATAACTAAAAATTCAATTGTTGGGTATTTTTGAATGGTTCATCTTATTATTTATAGAAGATTCATCTATTTTGTTTTGAAAAAAATTACATGAAACAATTACAATTTATTTCCTAGCCCCATGTGGTTTTTTTCTTCCTGGTGTACAGGGTTCTTCACAGCAAAATTTTTTTTCAGCTTCCCTTGAACTTAGTTGTAGAGAAAGTCCACCTGTATTGCCTCTTCAACAAACAAAGTTCAGAGAGTTGAATTTCCAATAAATGATGCACAAACACCCCCACACTCAGATGCCTATATATTACAGTAAAATCTTGTTACAACAAATACCTTCACAACAAAATTTTAAGTATAACAAACTTTTTCTCAAGTTTGTCTTGCAGAAATCCAAAGGAGTACATGTTGAACAATCTTGTATATATAAAAATGTTTTGGACATATTCAGATGGTACACCTCATAATTTTACCTCCTGCAATTCATTGGTTGAATTTTATGGGAGGTTGACTCGCAATTTGACCTCTGCCTCACAATTTCCCCTCCTCCAGCCACTTTTCTAGTGTTTCTTGCTGCTGTTTCTGAATTTTAAACACTGTCTCACAATTCATCAACTGCTTTGTAAATTGACTTTAGTTTTGCAATGGATTGTGGTCAAAGTGCAGGCACCTGCAGAAATAAACATAACTGTCTGTTTCTCATTGTAGCATGAATGGAAACTATAATCAATTATGAACATGCTTCCATACATATAGTGGTTCCACCCAACATCCTCTCAGAATGAAAAATTGGTGTAACTGATGCTGGTGGAATGCAATTTTTTTTCAAAAGATCACTCAGTTTTTCAAACAATGATGAAAAATCTGAGAATGCAAGGAAAGCAAGATCTAAAATTGACTATAGGCAGGTCTGATGTTAAAAATTGGGCACTTCCCTGTTATCTCAGTACCCATTTTTCTTTGTCTCGTGAATTCAGTATTTGTTAGGTCAGGTTAGGTCAGGTTATGTTAATTGAAAGATATTTGTAACTAACATAACCTGACATAACCTAACTTTACCTAACTGCCTCCCAAAATCAGTTTCAGCAGAATGCGGAAAAATGAAATTCAGTTTCTGGTAGGTGCACGGAAAGTACTGTAGGTACTGAGATAACAGGAAACTACCAAAAATTGTTCCAGTCATTCATTTTGAAAATCTCATTATAAATTAATTAAATTAGAATCAATAATAACGAACTCTTTTCTCAAGAGCTCAGCACAAGATTGTTTTGTTTTGTAATGAGATTTTACTCCTGCATATATTAAATGAGTGAAATAAAATCCGGACAGGGATAATTCCTTCCATCGCAGGAACACGTGTCAGTACTGTCCGGAGGACTTTGAGGAGGCCAGCGACGGAACATTCACAAACGCAGTGGCTGTGTCCACACTCACCAAAGACGATCCGTTTCCCAGCTTAACGTCGCTGCAGACGTCCAAGGCCAAGGACATAGCCAATGATGTCCTTCACCAGGTACTGTTCTGTGCATCATAACATTTCTTTTTGTGTGTACCAGTAATCTGGCATATTTATATATACAGTATATGTATATAATGTACAAGGGTTGGTTCATAAGTTTTGTGACTTCATGAAATACAATGAGACCCCAATATGCAGACACCCTGACATAAATTTTCTGCAATTTCCCCAAAAAATTAAAACATTTTATTTTCCAATTTTGATATCTTTTGAACAAATCAAATTGATTATACAGTGAGAACCCAAGATGCAGCAGACATATAATTGGTGCATGGAGAGTGTCCCTAAGTTAAAATATCCATAAGATGAGTCTAATTTTCCTTTGGACTTACATTATATAATTTTTAATTGGTGTTTTCTGTACAAAATACTCACCAGAATTCCATGAAAATAAAAATTGTCTCCCAATTTAAACTGATTCTGATCAATATATTACAACACAATATGGGCATTTAGGGAATTGAATAGTGATACCTCTGTACAGTACATAGAAATGTTTGCTGTAAAAATAATATTCAAGTGAAAAAGACAGAAGGAAGTCCCTCTCTGCTGGAAATAATTTTTTTTAATTAGCTCTCTGCTGGAAATAATTTTTTTAATTAGCTAAATGGATGATAAATTGGTGAGAGAAATGCTCAAGAATTTTTCTTACATCAATTTCAGGGTTGGAAATATCTATTTCTAGTAATTTGGCCTGAAATGCATTTGAAATTTTATAACAAAATGTCCCTATGTCTGGATCCTCATGTCAGGAATTTTTATTAATTTTTTATGAGAAAATAAGTGTCCCTATGTTGAAATGTCCGCAGGTCAAGGTGCCCACACGTGGGGTCTCACTGTATTTGCTATCGGTTACAGCTCTAAAATGTTTCATCAGTTTGCCATGCTCGAACGCCTCACCTGGTGCCTCAAGATTGAATAGAGGGACTGATGGAATATAGGTACTGGAATTTTTGACATGTGGTTCGGGGCACGGGTAAAGTTTCCCTCTCTGTGAAGCTTGGAGAAATTGCGAAAAAGGAAGTAGGCTGTGTCTTCTTGTGAGAGGGGAAGAAAGAAATATACACAATATTCGAATTCAACACATCCACACATAATGTATATACATGCAATGCATGTATGTACATGCACCCTGATATATTCACCCTGATATACACCCTGATATGCAGAATCCCCAACGTTGACCATTCAACTTATATAGGGACACTTGAAAACAAAACAAAAAATCAGGCAAAACAATAGTTGGCTATTGGCTCACTCTTATTCACATTCCAAGAATAGAGTTTGCAAAGACAGAAATTGGAGATAAGGACTGATGCATGCTGATTCTATAAAGCCAGTGCTCTTGCCACTCCTCACTGGTTCCTGCTGGACCTTCTGACCTCAGCTACCAGCACACCCACGCAGCTTGACCTGTTTCTTTGTTCCGGATCAGGAGGACTTCCATTCGTCCTTTTTTCCAACTTCCCCTCATCACGTCAGAATAAAAAAAAGAATAAATAAAAATCTGTCCAGTAAATCCGTTTAAATTCGTTTCATGTGTAACAGCCATTGCCTTATGAAAAAGGGAATTAAAATAAAAAGCTATAAATGTGTTTCCGTAAGTGCTAGAAAGAAGTGCGTTTTCAAGAGTTTTAAATTCATGTGGACACTCTATAACATACTTCAAGGGACCAGAAAAACGTGTCGTAGACAGAATTTCGTTGTAGAGAACCCCTATAACATGGGGAGAGAACCCTATTATTGAGCCATAAATCAATTCGATATAACGAGAAAATCAATGTAAACAATAATTTATGTCTAAATAACGGGAGAGTATATACTGTACCTTGTATAATAAAAGTTGAACTTTGCAGATCGAGCTTCCTGCTGGGAAAAAATCATTTGTGCTACATGTTCTGCGGCTGTGGCTAAAATTTGCCTTGCAGATCAGCCACTGATTTACGGAAGGGCACACTCATCGTACGTGAACTATAAAATGACAGTTCTTGAAATGCAGCAGGAACAGCTCATTATGAAAATTTTATTTTTCAACAGAACGCCATGTTTCCATAACAGAAAAAGTTTGGAATGGTATATGAGGCCATTTTACTATTTTTCATCGTGCGTTTCATCCTTATGCAGGAAAATTATCTGAATTTTTCAACACAAACTTGAACAGGAATTTTAGCCACGAAAGAGATGCGGACCAAACTTTTTTTTTAAACATGAAAATCTCCAAATTTGAAGGATGAATGAGAATAGGTAAGCGTTGATTTTTTTTGCTGAAAGCATTTGTAGTTTTCAGGCAAAGATTTTCTGGTGAAAGCCTGAACAAAACAGATAAAACATTGAACAAGGAGTATTACAAGTAAATTAAATTCAAGTTGAATATGAAACTAAATCGAAACGTTGCCGTATAATGAGGAACGTTTATTGAAAAAACCACCATATTCAAGTATTTATTTTCCGACAAATGTTAGAAATTGAAAACATCCTACTACCCCCCCCCCCCCTACTCCCCGGCATGATGCACATCCTATTTTTGGACCCAACATCTTGAAACAAAATAAATTATTGAGGTACTGTATTTTGGAAAAAAACGGTGGGTGCGATTAAAATGAATTTTGTCACTCTCTATAGAGCAGGAAAAACTTTTTGCAAGAAAGCCTGACGATTCCGGGTGAGATTTCTTTTTCTTTTTAATAAGGAAATCTAGAATTCATGACACAGAAATGAGTTATACTGTAGAAGGAATGGAGATTTTCAAAGATCACTGAAAAATTTTACTTTAAGACTGCGTCGTTTCCAAAAAATGGATCTTTTTGAATTAGTCAGCAAGAAACATATGATGGCTCTCATTCTTTCTGCACGCAATTTCGTGAAAAAAGTAGGCTTAAATGTATCCTGGAGGAAATGTATCTTAGTTAAAAATGCAGGTTGAAGTGTGGTACTCTATTCCGGATACACCAGCTGCTTGATCAGTGTAGAAAAACAGATTTCTGTGAAGTGCTTGTAAAAATGCAACATTCCCGTTGACTCCTGGTGATTTGCTGCTGGTCATCGTCCTCCACTTGTTGCTGGACGAGCGTATTACTGCAGAAGAGTTCATTCAATGTTATCATTTGGAAATAAGCTCAAACCATCTCCTTCCTTTCCACTACCCTTTGTCTTGTACTCGGGATCCTCCTGGAGGCCCAGGGCGGGCCAAGACTCACCTGCAACACGTCAGCGGGGATCTCCCGCCTTGACCTCAGCGGATCCCCCCTAGCTCCCATATAAGAACGTTGTGCTTGCTGCGTTCTACGTTGTGCGGCCGCCCACGGCATCAGCAACGATGTTGTCAGTACGGCGGAAGGTGAAATACTTACTCCGGCAGCAGCCGCCCCCGCGGTCATGAATGAAAACTCGGGCGGCGGGGGTAGCGCGGGAATCCGCGTGATCCCGGGGATCCAGGGGATCCCTCTGGCTTGTCGGCCTCCCACTACGGGCTTTAACTCTCACTTGCCCCGAGCAGGCGGGTGTCAGTCGTAACCCTGCTTTTGACCCCTCGAGGAAACATGAGCCGGTTTTTCATAATAATTCCTGCTGGGTCTTCGACCTTTTTGTTGTTCCTGCCTGGAATGCAAAGTGTTGTTCTCTGAAGAAGAAAAAAACTGCATTGTGTTGAAGAAACAATTCCGAACATCCGCAAATTTCACCATGATTATAATTTCTATGGAAACTTTCTAGAAGTCTTCTTGATATACTTGATCATTCTTTCATATCAATGTGTTAGAAAGAAGGACTGTTCAAATTTTATTTTTACAACTCAAGGATTGAAAACAAGGGTAGACACAGCTCTCTTATGATATTCTCATCGTCAGATGTGTGAGATTATAAGAACCATGCCCAAATTTTTTTTCGAGAGTTTTACCCCGTTATTACGTAAAACCATTAAAAATGTATTACCTTTTGGATGACGGAGTGATTTATATTAGAGAGCTATTCTCATTTTCCAGCTATTTCAGGAGCTATGACGAAGAATTACGGCTTGAAAAGACCTTCAATACATTTTTTGACATAAAATATTTTCTTGACACTAAATCAATCACCGCATTGAATAATTCAAACAAATCTTGCGTTGACTGTTCAACCACCGAGTCTCATAGTGTATTGTTCCTGTGGAATTCCTCTTCGAAATAATGTCTCATTCCGTGGAAAATGAACAGATTGAATCCAAGGCAATTCAAAGAGAGACGTTCCCCTCTTTAAGCTTCACTTCAATGCAGTACATATTTTAATTTTTGTCATTTTTTCCGAAGAATAACGCGTTTCTGTGACTGAGGTTCGAGTGCGTCATAATTTAAATTACTTCAAAAACCTATCTGATATAGCATTCGTCAATCGAAAAATATTGCATCTTTGTCCTTATTTGCGTTAAGAGCCATTTAAATCGAACAAAAGACCTTTAACTGTGGAAAGTACATCGCGGAAGTCAGTCTTTTACTAGACTTCCTTAACGTTTTTTTTTGACCATAGTCTTTATTACGATTCTCCATTTTCTTTCTTCTTCTTCTTAGGGATGGTAGAATTTAGTTTAAAGCCAGCAAGTTCAATGATGCTAGTAGACTTTTCTGAGGATAATTGCTTGATGGATGAAGTGGCAGAAATTAAAGTCCTCGTAGAAGCGTCATCACGGAGTAGTTGCAGTTTTGAATCGACTTCGCCGAGCCAGGATTTTGAAGTAGAATGCTGCTGTGGACAAGGAGCGCTTTGAATTCAGAGGATCTCGGGGATCCCATGGACAAGTTGCTGTTTCCAGCCGACTTCGGGAGTGACTGGGAAGATTTTTTGTGTTCTCCCGAAGAATCAGATGTCGTCGAATTGGACACTGTTGCCAGCAGCGTTTCCTAGAGCCTGTAGCCTTCAGCAAGCGAACTACCACTCATAGCAAAGGTGAAACAGTAGGTTCATTAAAAGTAGCTCGAAGCGACACCTGCTCCAGAAGAAGTTTAGGGACTTTAACTTGCGGTAACCCTGGAATGAAAACACGCGATCGTCCTGATTAGAGAGAAAAGTGCAAATTTTTGCGAACGTACGCACTGAACCTTGTCAATTCGAACGTCCGTTCCTCTGGAAATAAATTACGTTTGTGCAAGTTTATTCAAAAGTTGGATTCTAAGCTACAGTATATCCTGCATTAATCACATCAAACTGAAAGATATGCTCAGAGGCACCTAATTCTCACTATCTTCTCAGTACTGTTTTTTTAAACCTTGTCAGCGCTGACGATAAGCGGCCAATAGAGCTTGTCAATAAACCTTTCGAGCACTGTATCTTCTTCGAGTATCTTCTCACTTCATCACTAATTTTTAACATCGAAATTATTCACAATTTAACCACCATGAGGATTTTGGGCTGTCACCCATTGCGTAGTGGAATCATTCGCGATTAAATCTCATATTCTGCCGAAGAACCAGCGTGGGCTGACTTGCTGGCATAATATGCGACGAACGAATAACCTTTTGAAAATGAGGGTGTGACGTTCAAAAGATAAACATTTATAAAACTTCAAGAAAAATATGCACAGTACTATACATGGGTATAGGTCAAGTATCAACTCAAGTGCTGAGAGGATATGTTCGGTATAGTAGCCACTAACCCTTGAAATGTGTTATGGAGATTATTCATGGTGCCCAAATCGTCGCAAAGGATCTCGGACATCGGAAGTCGTTCGCTTGATGGTGAGTATCGTTTCCACTTTGTCATCCAAGTAATTTTCATCGAGCTTCGCTGTGGACGAGGTCTTCTTCAAATCCCTGAAATTGATGCGGTAACCCTGGAATGAGAACACGTGTTCGTCCTGATTAGAGAGAAAAGTGCAAATTTTTGCGAACGTACGCACTGAACCTTGTCAATTCGAACGTTCGTTCCTCTGGAAATAAATTACGTTTGTGCCAGTTTATTCAGAATTTGGATTCTAAGCTACAGTATATCCTGCGTTAATCACATCAAACTGAAAGATATGATCAGAGGCACCTAATTCTCACTATCTTCTCAGTACTGTTTTTTTTTTAACCTTGTCAGCGCTGACGATAAGCGGCAAATAGAGCTTGTCAATAAACCTATCGAGCACTGCATCTTCTTCGAGTATCTTCTCACTTCATCACTAATTTTTAACATCGAAATTATTCACAATTTAACCACCATGAGGATTTTGGGCTGTCACCCATTGCGTAGTGGCATCATTCGCGATTAAATCTCAGATTCTGCCGAAGAACCAGCGTGGGCTGACTGGCTGGTATAATATGCGACGAACGAATAACCTTTTGAAAATGAGGGTGTGACGTTCAAAAGATAAACATTTATAAAACTTCAAAGAAAAATATGCACAGTACTATACATGGGTATAGGTCAAGTATCAACTCAAGTGCTGAGAGGATATGTTCGGTATAGTAGCCACTAACCCTTGAAATGTGTTATGGAGATTATTCATGGTGCCCAAAAAGAAAAATATGCACAGTACTATACATGGGTATAGGTCAAGTATCAACTCAAGTGCTGAGAGGATATGTTCGGTATAGTAGCCACTAACCCTTGAAATGTGTTATGGAGATTATTCATGGTGCCCAAGATATTGTTTGCATTAAGTTGGTTAGTTAAGCCTGATTAAAGCCTCAAGAAAGCCTGTCACAACTTTCGTTTACGCTCAAAGTGGTAAACTATGTCATGCTTCGTCTACAGGTAGTTTGAAGACCTTTATATTACGTTTCAACTCACAATCCTAATATTTTACGCAAATTATTGAAATTCAGAAAAATCAGCAGACAATTTTTTTACGTTCTGTGGCACATAATGTCATCAGGGGTCATCTAACAATTGAATCACGTAAATTCTTCTTTATTGTAAGCTCATATAGTGTGATGGACCTTGGAATGGTATAAGGTCCTTTCGCTGATCAATTTTGAAATTGGGAAAAAAGGAAGAGATGGGAAAACATAGGTACAGTATATACTGTATCTGTATCTAATAGTATGAGAAAAGTTCGGAAAAACAAATATTTGTACTGAAATTTTCCCACTTGTACTGGAAGTCCCCGAATAAAACCTGGTTTCTTCAATTTTCCAACTTTTTGAGCATATAACACCCGTTTAAGTACAGTACTTCATTGAACCTACAACCCGAACTTTTAGAAAAAATAATCCACGCCGATGAAAACCTACGTTCCTTTAAAATTAAATTCAATCTTTGGAATGTTCAATCCACACTTACTGAAAAATACATACACAAAACCCGGGCCATTGTTCAAACATTCTGAGCGTAACGCTCATACAAGCCATGTTTGAAGCCTGAAAGTATACACTTATACAGTAATAAAAAAATATCAAAACCCAACTGTGAAATCATTTTGAGCATTTAAACTGGTGTGTTGCATACTTCATACATTGTAGCTAATGGAGGAATATATAGTCCTCGAAATGAGTGCCATATAGAAAACAAATGAAATTTTCAAATTTTTCTATCTCGGACAAAATTTAAGGATTTCTCTTGGAGGTCTACGAAAAACTGTGATTTGTAAAAAGGATACAGTAGATTGTTCAACAATTAAAGCACTTGCATAAGTTATCTGTTCGTTGAATGAGGTAGCATATTACGGTATTGTTCTGGGCTGTTCCCGATTCCCACGATTTTTGCTTCGATTAAATTCTCTGTTATCCGAACAATTAGCAGCTGATTAGGCCTCAAGAATCAAAGCTGTAATAACCGTCAGGGACGCCTCTGTCACCATTTGGCTTTTGTTCTTGTCTCCAGGTGATTAAAGTTAAACAAACTGCATGTCACCCTGCTTCAGCAAAAGCGTTCAATACAGCTGTACACAATATACTGTTGCATTTATTATTTTACTCTTCACATTTTATTTTGACCAAGGGTTGTTTACTGGGAGGTCTGATCTCATATTGTAGCTTGAAGATTGGTTCTCTTCTTATGTCCAGCATTTCAAATGGATAGAAATCAGCTTAAGAAAGATTTAAAATTACTGAAATTCAATACAAATAAAGTTTTCTGTTCATTCATTCATTGAAGATTGGTGAGAGAGTTATCAAAGAAATTAAGTAAGTTGGCAGTTGTTCAATGCATGACCAGTTTGGCACTTAAAATTGGAATACAGTACATGGGAGAAAATGTCTTGCTCTTTCAGAGAAATTAAGAAGTGGTCAATTTTTTTGATGACTGAAATAACAGGAACCTGGGCTTCAGGTCTCAAAGTCGGCATTTATATTTATTTTTTCACAGACTGGTCAAAGAAAATGCCAAAAGTTGAAGGCAGAATCTTTTCTTGAATAAAAAATGGCCGGCATTTATAGGAAAACAAGTAGTGTTTGACAATATTGAAATATTATTTTATTACTAAATTCAAAATAGCCATCAGACTGAATATTCTGTTTTCTCTGAAATCATTTTGAGGAAACTTTCCAGTTTGGAAAGAAGCATAAAGAATTTCGTAACATAGTTCGAAGCAAGTCGTGGATGGATTCATTTCATAAAGATGAAAAACTTGTTGACATGACCTTGAACAATAATTTACCATTGGCTAGATGAATACTGAAAGATTATTGACACTACAGAGAGCATTTGCAAAATGAAGACGGATGCTTCTCTACATTTTCTTTGGTATACGTTCATCTGGTATAACCGAGAAAAAAACAATTACAATGTTCGATTTCATTGCCATAATTTCCTGAAAAAAATCTTGCGTATTCCAGAAAGACCAGAACAGCGCCGCTTTGGCAGATTTATCTAAGACCAGAACAAAGCCGCTTTGGCAGATTCATCTTCTTTCTTTTCCATATAATATCCATTTGAAAGTCTTCTCCAATTGGGGAATCTTTTTTCTCATCAATGTTTCCACAATGTTATATCCTGCCATTGGAAAAAGGAAGAGCGCTTGAAAGTTTTAACTACACGTTCCTGGCCATTGCATCATATTGAAGGCAATAATCTCAATTATCCCGTAATTTCCAGTAATTTCTACAGGTGATCATTCAGTAAAGAATTCAGCATTTCCCGAAAGATATTTCCCGAAGAATTTCCCGAAACATTGATGCCATCCAAAAATGTATCCAACTACGCCGAAGAAAATCACCAACCAAGAATATTTGAGTTCTTCCGAGTCGAAACTCTCGAAAGCGCTTTGAGAAAATTACCAGCTGACTTACTGAGTCTGATGGAAGGTTTCGCGCATAAGTTGAAAGTATCATCAGCATGAACAATGATTATGTCTGCTCTTTTTTTTTTTTTTTTTTTTTTTTACGCAACGTTTCATGATCACACATCATAGCAAAAGTGTTCACCTGAACACGGGTTACCTCTGCATGTTGTGGGCCGGGGAAGGAAAAAAAACGGTACTTCACTTCAAGAAGGAATTTTTCACAAAACTGGGGCACGTTCCCGTAATTTTATCATCGAAAATATTCCTGATTTCGAATTCACACTGATGGATTTCAGAGTGGGCGTCAACAAATTCTTCTCACGCCTCACTCCGACACCCTCGCGGTAAAGCCTTACCATGTGATGGGTACACGTGACACGATATAATCAAATTTCCGAGTAAACTTCTTGTGGGAGGAATATATCTCGTGGATCCCTTCGATGGTGCGCATTTTTATTGAAAATCATCGGATGTGATTGGCTGCTTTAGCTTTGGGAAGGCGCAACTTTCTTGACGAAACCTTCCGGATTTCTGAGAAACACAATTTTGTCAGATTGCAGCGCGGAACGTTATTTTTCCTAACCAACTTCG